AGGAAGCGAGAGGGAATTGAGGGAGGAAATTATAGTTTTCATCCAATAACAAACTATTACAATTTATAAGTCTCTTTATATAGGATTTAAACTAATTTAAGTAGGAAACTACTAAAAAAATACAAAAAAATTTATAAAAACCCTAATTAGTTTTCCTAAAATAAGAATCTAAACTTGGAAAGTCTTCATATAATATATCTAGTAGGGTCTCCATCACATGGACTATTCGGTGTCAGCTAAAAATGCGATATTATTAGTGAAAAATGAAACAGGCAGCTGATACAATCAGTTAATCAACTTAGGTGCAAGAACACCATTGCTGCATTCATATGAACCTTGAAAACTCACTTGAAAATACATTCACTACATTAGTCATTCCTAATGTAAAAGAAGGAAAAACCAATCTGCTGCAGCCAGCCATTAAAACACAGACAACAAAAACTTTTTGAGTCTTGTTATCAATGAATCTGGGGTCAACTACATAAATCCTTTTTTGCCATTCCATTTGGTTTATTGCTAGAAGCATAGAACTACTCAAATATCCAAAGTAAATAGATACTTAGGAACCACAACAAACCATTTCCTCCCCTTCTAATCAATTCTACTAAATTTCCATCAATCTTATCTTATGAACAAGGTCCTCTTCAGTTTTATGCAAAGACGTGTTCCAACCACTTAAATCGTCCTTTTCTTAATTGATCCTCAATGCTGTGACCTGCATTTGTTGGCATATATTCTCATTTCTTATTTTATCCATTCTAATATGCCCTCACATCCATCTTACATCCTCATTCTCACTACACTCATCTTATAAACATTTTGTAATTTAACAATGTGATATTCAGTATCATGAATCATTACAAGTTTAATAACCATTCCGTAAAATACGCCTTTTAACCTTATATAGATCTTCCTATTCTGTAAAATAGCCCTTTTACCAAGTTTATCATGTAAAGGTGCTAATATTTTCTCCAAACATAAACTAAAGTACAATAAGCTTGTGTCATTGCCCGATATCTTGACAGGCAATTGAAATGTGATGCATATTTGATGGCCTGTGAAATGCCTTAAACATGACTTCTAACTCTCTTTAGTAGCGTCCACATTAAAACTTCACATTAGAAAATATGTCAATGCACTTGTGTAATTTACTCTCACTTGTTTTTATAATTTACACCCTTTTGTATTGCCATTTCTTACTGCTGTATTTGTGTTAATGCACTTTCCAATGATACATGAACAATGTATTTCTCGTCCTTTATAGAGAAGATAAATAAGAAATTAAACATGACTTTGTCAAATGAAATAAACAATTATAACACACGTTCACAAATCTTGTTGCATTTGAAAGTAGAAGTTGAGATGTTATTTAGCATGGAATGATCAAAGGACTGTAGTCAAATAAATTAAGCCCTCTTTTGAAAACAATAGAGTTTCGAATAGTGATTTTAGGAAAATGTGTGGTTAAAAAGTAGTGAAAAGTTTTGGGTTTACGTGCAGAACATTTTTTTGCGTGAATATGTGATTGAAAATGAGTATGCAGAAAAAAGAGGGTGAAAATAATGATCGTCAAGCAGGGGCTAACTAAAAAATACACAGTATTACCTTTGAACAAGGCAGAAAATGGAGGTAATATAGGTGGCTTCCGAGTCTGCTAAAAACAAAAGATGGGAGAGAGATCAAATCAAAGCGTATTGACAGGTAGAATGTTAGCACATAGTGGAAGACCAGATCTAGTGTTGGTACAAGTTCACAACAAACCAAACCACCAATATATGATTTGTTTAAGAGACTTGGATACTTGTCTGCAACAGCAACATTTTTACAAGTTCAAATGAGCAAGTACAAAATGATGTGACTAGAAGTCATGCACACCAAATAATGAAAGATTAATACCATTCACTGCCCAATTAAACATAAATAATAGTTCCGTTGCACATTAAACCTATATCAAAAGAAATATGTGTAAAATCTAACTCTAAACATAATGCCCAATGTTCAGATGAGCTTCAGACAAGATGGCAAATTCAGTTTCTTTTAATTTAACAAAGTGTTTATTCTCTCTCTCCTCCACCCGAAATCCAACAAGGGGAAATGTTTCCAGGTTCATATAAGCTAATTAAGTTGCATTTACACAATTTTGCTGCATGACATTAGCACATAATGGAAGATGTCCAAAAATAAATATTGGTACGAATTCAGAACAAATAAGCACTGATAAAAAGACATGCTGTAGTTGTCTGCAATGTCAACATACAGTTACGGGTTCAAACGAGCCAGTACAACATGATGTGACTAGAAAATTATGCCCCGCAAGTAGTGAAAAATTAAATATCGTTCTCCACCCAGAAACATGTAAATAAGATTATTCCAGTTGCACATTGATTGTTAATCAAAACAAATTTATTTACCATTACTAAACACAAATAACCACCCCACCCCAACCCAACAAGGAAAAAACATTTCAAGGTTCATCTAAGCTTCTTAAGATGCATTCAAACTAAACTGCAACATAATCTAACAATTAAATACATACCAATTATAGATAAATAAACAGATATACTGGAGCACAAATAATTAAATAAATTGTCAAAAAAGGAATGGATAAAAAAATATGAATGTCTAAAATGGTACCTGCAAATGAAAAGCAACCAACAGAATTATGGAGAGAGAATTCAAGGTTTTGTCTTTTGAACTGTTAATGTTCTGCACTTTTGCCCAGGTTTTCATCTGCTGAGATTGTCAATGCCAATTAGATAACATAGCATTGGTCATTATATTTCAAGAAAAATAGAACTATACTAAGCATAGCAATGTGGCCGAAATCTCAGGAAACTATATACAATTATTTTTAGATGCATCTAAAAATTCAAATTCTAACCAATCATCAGAAAGAACAGTGGGAAGAAATATTCTGAAGGGATTGGTTGGGGAAGTGTTTTGTATTTTAAAGCCTGCTAGTAATGTTACCATAACAGGATTATACAGAGGTTTATCATGTTAAAGTAATTTGGGTGCCAGGAAGGATGTTTAAGAGACACGCTCCTATTGTTGTAGTATTGTCCCTAAATGGTGTTCAGGCTCCATTTAACCATTTAAGCTCCATCTGAAGAAGCATTTTGTGGAATTCTTTGAAAAAATTATAGTGTAATTACCCATCTATTGGCTATACCAAATTTCAATCTTTGTACCATTCTGGAAGACTTTCTCCTATAAAGTGATACTTCAATCCTGGGATAAGAGAATTTAGGTCTTATCATAAGATTTTGACCAAAAACAATTTGCTTTACTTCCATCACAATTATATTTTATGTTTTTTGTGTTGCCCTCTGTAATCTTCTTGTCTACTATTCATGCTCCTGAATTCTTGAACTCGATACCAAATAATGCAGTACAACTTGATATTTTGCCTTGAGGCGTGAAATGAAACTTGGAAAACAAGTGTCTGAGTACAAGGAAAAAAAGCCCCAAGGATTTCACTTCAAATTTGATTATGGGACTATAACCAACATTTAATCCAGTATACCATGAAATTCATGAAGAAATATGGTACCCCAGCGGCGCAGATGAGATGGCTAAATATTACTTGTACAATGCTTAGGTCTTAAGCTACAATCAAATCCCTTGATAGATACCTGCAGAGGCTTACCTGAGTTTTTCATGCTCACATATATGTCTTGAAATTTGTCAGGCCTTTGTTAATTGCCTCAAAGCTTGCGCCTTGCCTGTAAGTTTTCAAGGTTTATGCCTCAACTTACTAAGGATCATGGCTCAAGGCACAAGTCTCGAGGCAGTTGAGTTGTGCGGTCTTCACTCTAGTTCCTAAAACAGAGTATTTAAGTGTTGTCCCCCTCGATTGAGAACCACACTCTCATGAGATTCGCAGAGAACCAAACTAAATTTGTATGATGGCACACAATCCTATAGATTCTAAATTATCTCTCACTTTTCCAAATTCTTGACCCAGCTGATAGCCTTGAGAACTGTACAAGGACATGCCCATTACTTTTGGGTGGATTTGCCATAACAGTAGGCCAGTCTTACAGATTAAGCAAGAATAATGAGAGGATGACTTATAACAGACCATCTAGAAGCTTATAAACCAAATGCAAAAGATCATAAATAATAAGTTCATTGCAAGCATTTCCATAAGAGCATTCTATTGGGAATACAAGTATTAAAGTTATTGCAAAACGAATGATCAAATGCTTCAAATTAAATAAAAGATAAAAGCATCATCAAACACTTCTATGTTGGACTGAGGAGGATGAGATGGAATCTGGAGAAATGAAGCTGAAAGGTTGAGTGACAAAATATAGATGTATAAAAGAATGAAGGCAAACTTTACCAAGAAGCTTAGCTTTTTAAACCTTTCATCGATTGAGGAAATAAGGTGTATAATCTGGGATTTCAAGATTCCATCCCTATTTTCAACTGATATATCACATTCAACACCAGTTCCGCGATCAACAACTTTGAGAATAGGCACCTTGGCAGTTGTGATTGGAAGAACACCAGAAACATGCCCTTTACCTAGAGCATATGAATCCATATATGAGATGCATCCAAGTACCACTTTTCATTTCTTGATAAAGAACAAAAGGAGAATGAAAAAGGTAGAAACAAGAAGTCCTCAATAATAATTGCAACTACTGTTGTAATTCTGGGGAACGCCATCTACTAATCCATGGAACTTAACCAAATAGAATATAAGTTAGTGCTTGAAGCAGATGCTTCTCAATACTACTCTGCTTCCATCATATCTTTTGATAGGATTCTTTGATTAAAAAAAAAAAAAAAATTGGAGAACACAAATACTGAGAAAGAGCAAAGAGTATTCAGAAAACTCAGTATAGAAGTTTGATGAAGAATAATACACAAATCATGAGCTATCTAGTAAAGGAACCTACAAAAATCCAAAGAGCCAAGTAAAGCACCCTTCCTCACACAAAATGCGTGAGAAGAACTTGACCTGAAATAATAGCATATGTAACCACCCAAATGCTCCAAATATTGTTACAGATCTCACCCACCCCTCGCAATTATCTTTTCATCTTGTAATTACTCAATTTCCAAATTTATTTCTTCCATCTTATGGTCATTGTTTGCCTAGAAAGTATAAGAAAGAAAAGACATTATCTCAAATGATCTCTGCTTCAGTTCACCCAGTATATAAGTTCTAGAAGATAAATATACCTCTGATTTCTGAAGCCTAAATTGCCTTTTAAGAGATGAACAAGTTCAATATATTCTTAAAAATAATGAAATATGAATCAAAACAAACAAAGGAAAAATGCAATCCAAAATTTTACATTGTAGAGCATATAGTTTCTTTGCAAACTTCCTCAGAGTTTGAATCTTCTTTTCGCGCGGAAATTCAACCTCGTTAATGCTAAAATTCACAGAGAGATCTAAATCACTAGTTGGGCTAAAGAGATCCATTAAGAAAGAACCAAATTCCACCACAACGGGAGTCACTTTTGAATATCCTGAAACGAAAAGGATCAAACAACAATCATGAAAATGTGCTCCATGAGATAGGCAGCTTTCACGGGTCATGAAATATTCATGGCGATAAAATAAAGTACAAAGCATTGTGAATAAAGATACAAAAGTAACATTATTATATGAACATTATTAGTGAATTAAAACAAGAAGCAAATATGACAAAGGATTTCCTTTCAACAGTAGTATTACCATATATTTCCTTCGCAATTTCATTAAACACTAGGACTAAATCTCTTCGAGATTCATAATCACTCTGTTTTGGGCGCCGAATGTCATAAGCATCTTGAAGAATTGGCTCAAGATCAGATACACGTTCATTTATCACTGTAGGACCCTGTAATTTCTTCAACTCAAACTTCTCTGCTTTCTTTCGCAAAACTAAAGGCATAACACAAAACAGTAAGATCTGTTATGACTATGATATGCAAAACAATGACATATCTGTAGCTTGGCACTTAGCTAGGTAAAAACGCAATTGTATAAATACAAAATTCCAATGAGTCAAACCCTTCGTGAATCTGTTAACTCGTCAATTTCGTTTAGAAGGAATTTCACTTTTTGGGCATGTTCTTACATGTATCAGCTACAATAAGAAATGAATTTGACGAGTTGCAATTTCCTCAAGTTGCTAATCTAACCAACTGAAAAACTCTTTAGACATAACCTTGTAGGAGTGCCTAAAAATTCGAAATACCCTTCATGGTCCTTACATAAAAAGAGAGATATGTTGACCTAAAAGGGAATATTGTGTTTTTTCTTCGTTAACACAAATTTTGCCTCCAATTGATGGAGAATAAGTATTAATTATCTACATTTTATTTTAAGATTAACAAGGTTTATTTACTGCTTCAGGAGGATCACCAGCTAGCTAGTCAAAAAGATAGAAATGGAAGTTCATTTATTCAACTTGACACATGGAAAGGAGCCATTGCATGGCCAATTGTCGGTATAACTATAGATACCCAGGATCACCGACCAAGTCAATGTAATTTGATTTCAGATTTTTTGTATTAAGCTTATTGGTTAAAGTAACATTGGAAGTTGAAACTATCTCTTGTTTCCAAAATGACCCAAAACCGTTTCTTCTAACTTTTTACTTCCTCTGCTTTTGATTTCAAGCTTGTCAATGGAACAGTGATCCTACAAATCAATTGCGATATTCAAAAATCAACCTTTTTTATGGCAAGCTTATACACATAAACCAAAATTTTTCTACAAAAAACCCCACTTAAATAATTGCACCTTTTTATAACCATTTTTACATATAACTAAGATGTCCTATCCCCTTGTTAATACAAAATAATAAAAAGATATTCAAGCCCACCTTATCCATACCAAAAAAATAAATAAATAAATAAATTTGAAATATGTTCGAGCACAGCCAAAAAGATTCATTCCAATCAAATGCTACATAAAACTGGCAAGCCCAATTCTCATTCAGAAAACTGCATTGCTGTAGGCATTCTTTGAGATACTATTATTATGAGAGAAAATTCAAAACTCAAGGTAATTTCGGGGGAAAAAAAAAAAACCACGAGTATTAAAATTACTAATTTATACCAATAAAATTATATTCGGTTGCCACATTGAATTCTGCATTGCAAAATAAACAAATAAACATAGAAATTAGCCAAATAAGAAAAAACTGGCCTTGTGTATCTGCATTTGCATAAACAAAACCCCGGCCCACATAGAAATATCACAAGTTACTGCGTATTGATACACACACAGAGACAAACACACCCAAAATTCACCTTTTGCACGCAACGCCATATCTCCAGAAAATCTGCAACTTCACTGCACAAATTAATTCAATAAATGAAAATGATAAACCAATAACTTCACCGGAGATTCATTCTTCTAGTTTTTCTTTGGGGATTTTTCCTGGAGAGTGGAGAAAAAGACGAAGGGGTTGAAACGAAGTGCCCAAGGCCACCTTTCGACTTGATTTCTCCAATCAGCAGTTAAATTGACCATCTCGGTCATTAGATTGACCTCGTACGAGTCTTACGTTAATTGCCAGTCGGATTTGGGCCTTTTATTCTTTGATTGACTGAACCGAAGGAGTAAGAAAACGAAAATCTAATGTTGAGATAGGAAAGATTTTGCCAGAAGTAAATTGAACTTTTTTTGGTAAAGGATAGAAGAATATTGTTTGACGTTGGAAAGCAGCCAATAATTTGGATTTTGTTTAATAAAGATTCTGTTTGACCACATTCTTTCAAAAAAAAAAAAAAAAAAAAAATTATATATATATATAATTTCACATCATTTCAATAACATTCTTTAATAAAATAATATTATACCCAAATTTCAAAAATTTTCTTATTTTTTTAAATACACATTTTCCATCAATACACTATTCAAAAATACATTCTTACAAAAATAATATGACTCAAACAAGGGCTAAATGTGATTTAGTTTCATTCGGGTATTTTGTTTTGTAGATGCTTTTCCTTTTTTTCTTTTTTCTTTTTTTGTGCAAAATAAGGTCATGTTTGATCCACATTCTTTAAAAAAAAATTTTTGAAATAGTAATTTAATGTCATTTCAATTAATTATTTTTTTAATAAAATAATATTACATGTAAATTTAAAATTTTTCCTTATTTTTTAATCACGCATTTCTCATCAATTCACTTTTCAAAAATCCAGTCTTATGAAAATAATGTGACACAAACAAGAGCTAAATATGATTTTCCAACCAAGCACTACTATTTAATCATGGGCGGATTCAGGGACGGGTTGGGCCGTGCTACAGCCCGTTCCTTCAACCCAAATGTCCATTAAAAAAAAAATTTAAGTAAAATTAATTACAGCCCGTGTTGAATTTTTTTCTGGATCCATCACTGTATTTAATTATAGCTTTGACATTGACTCCTACCTCGTGATGAAATTGAGAAGTGGGAGAAGGGGGTAATTTGAATGGTTAACCAAGAACGTAACCTAATAAAGATCTTGGCATGAATTCGACCTAAGGGCAGTGGCCTTAAGAGGATTCAAGAACTTTGCCTTTTTATTTCCTTCTTATTCCATGAAGATAACCTAATTTTTTTTTTTTTTTTTTTTGTCTTGCTTGATCACTATATATGCTACGAAATTATAAAGATGCACTCCGAGTTGAATCTATTTTCTCTTCCGAAATTCACAAATCTTTGTGAAATAACTCCTTCACTCACATGTCTTTGTGAAATAACTCCAATGAGAGAAAATAAGGCATCAAGATGCGATTAAAATGATATACAATATTGGGAGAAGTAAAATCTTGGAATTTTGATATATTGAATCTTTTACTTGAGTGTATATTACAACTTTAAATGAATCCTTTAGAATTTAAAGTTCTTTAGTTAAGTAAGTCCAAAACATGATAGGTAAAATGCATTTTCATTTATTTCTTGTATTAATAAGCATAATTCTCATCGTGAGATAATAAGTCGTGAAATTATTCACCATGATATTTTTCAGATTATGTGAGATTCTTTTCCTTAATAGTTTAATAGTAGATCGTGTGATTATCATAAGATCTTTCTATTTGAATTATTCGTAGTCCTATAAATATGATCTTCTACTTTATACTATAGACATAATTTTATTATATAAAATTTATATTATTCTAACAAGGTATCGAGCTTTTTATCTCAGGTTAAACTCATAATCAAATTCATAGCTTAATCTAGGTTTTGATTTTATTTCTTGGATTTTTTTGGGTTTGGTGATTAAACTTTTGACACCCCTTGTTGCAAGAAAATCAATTCATCTCCATCACCTTGTCTTAGCCTCCTCTTTTGTCAGGGAACTTGCTTGATGAGTCTTTTGTCTCCTCCTTTGAGTGCTCATCCAATCCATGTATTTCAGAGTACTATTATTAAACATGATTTATCCTCAATAGGTCTAGTAATTAAAATTGTTTGAAGTTCTTGTCTTAGACTTGTTCATTATACTTGTGCGTATCTCCTTCAAGTCTTGATAATGGTCATGGTGGATAATGGTTTCATTTCACACAGTTTGTGTTTCTAGGTTGGTTAAATCGACATTCAATGTAAATGCAATTTTGAAGTGCCATTTAAGTCTTGAAAATAATGATTTTTTTAAAGTTAATTTTCAAACTCTATATTTTTCACTGCACCTTATTGAGTTTGAGGGGATGTTAAATATATAGTAAGATTAAAAAGATTATTTAACATGATATTTCCTATTCGTGTGTTATTTTATAATTGTGTGTTATTTTCCACAATAGTTAATTGTGTGATTATCACACAATCTTTTCCAAGTCGAAGATCCGGCTGATTTTTAAAATATAGGTAACAAGCACAAAAATATATTATATAATTTATAATATTCTAATAATATGGCCTAAAAACTGATTATTAATTTTATGCATTTAAAAATGATCATTGATAAGTAACATTTTAAGACGTTCAATTACAATATTTTAAAGGGTATTGAGGATCCTTGGACACGTGCATGTCCATCTTCGAGTGAATTATATTGAAAATATTGATGTAAGTAAATAAAGAAAGAAAATAACAACTGCTAATAGTGTGCTAAGAAGCATAAAGCATGGTTAGGCGGGAATGTCAAATTTCATTACGAGCCTAGATGAGACATAAACGTAAAAAAACGTTACTTTTATTATCATTATTGTAAATACTTAATCATTCTAAAATCATTCAAGACTTAAAATGATACATATCAAACATCTAAACTTATAAAATAATATATTTACTTAATTATTCCTACAATTAGTCAATTATACAATTTCTAGTTTTCGAAATATAAAAATTAGACTATTTTTAATAGTTTCAACTCTCAACCAGACAAGTAATACTTAACGCATTTATAAGAACTTCATACATACTTTCAAAATTTTCAACAAAACGATAAATCTCAGAATCGTAATTATATAATACAGATAGCACTTTAACTTAAATCTTATCTAAATTTTTATCGAATTAAGTAAAAAACGACTTTTAAAAAGGGAAGTTTTTTTTTTTTAATAAAATGCGCCTAGGAAAAAGCAAAGTGCTTTACCTACGCCTTGCCCCTAGGCAATGCATATACGCACTTTTTAGAGCTTCAATTATTAATAAAATAATGATTTTAATGATTAATTAGTATATTTAATGTGCACATCTAATGTGCAAAACCAACATCATCGAAAGATATAAACAAAATAAACACAATAAAAAGGACCAAAGGGGTCCCTCTATCTAAAGGGGGTTATCCCTCTATTAACTTGGGATCAACCTATAAGATGGAAGGGTTTGACCCATCCTTAAGAGTGTTTCGAACTCCTGCTCTTGAGACATTGCAAAGGCTCTACGAAAACGTGTATAACTTTTTCTATTGAACTCCAAATTCAGATAAAAGCATTGGACTACCGACTCGATAAACTTTTTAATGATTTATTATATTTCTTGTGAAATCTCTATAACAACGGCGGCACACTGGCATTTATATGTGTTCAATACGGGTTCCTTTATTGACTAACCATCTCTGTTTTCAATTTGGTACCTTTAGCCTCAATGGACTTCATTTAGGTGATATTTGACCCTATTTATGCTATATATAGGATGATTCCTGATCATTTTGGATTCCAAGTGACTAATTTGTATGAAATATAGAGAAACGAAGCTATGAACGCTATTGATATACAAAGAGAGAGGTAAGTAACTATTCAAAAACAATGTAAACAATAGTATTTATATTATAATTTTTCTTTTTGGGTATTTAAGATGTACTATTAGTAAAATGTACAGGTAATAGATATTGCTTTTAAATTTCTAATATGATTGAAGTTTTTAAGACATAATTGGTTATATAACATTGTTGTCACCATATATTGATATCTACTTGAATATTGTCTCATGTCATTATGACTTGAGCATGAGATATATTATGGAATTCATGTAAATGTGCGTATATATACATTGATATGAGAGAAGTAACAAGGCATACCTCATAAAAGAAGAGATAGTGAATGTGGTAAGGAGATGATGGTGAATACTTTTCTTGATATACTGAATGTGATTTACTTTCAAATAGAAATTGCCCTATGAAAATACTGTACCATACTTTGCGTGCACATACCAAGGCTCTGATAGTCATTAATGATAGCTGATGAGAGGGTGTTCGACGGTCTGGTGTCTATACAAAGACCGCGTCAAAGGTCTCTCAATGGCTATGAGACTACATATAGATACGATGAGCATATAGGCAAGGTCTGAGTTGTAGTTATAGTAATTGTCAGTGTAGTATCCTTAGTTCAATGGACAATAACGAATACAACGATGATCTCCTAAGTCTTGATAGCAATGACGGAGCTATTATTTGTCGTATTGTTATTTAAGCTCAAAAATATACAAAGGATTTGAGCCCAAAGAATTAAAAGATAAATAAGTTGAGATGGTAGGAAAGAGATGAATGTACATGTAATTTTAACCCTACATTTGAATCCCATATTACGTTAGTATCGATGTCTTTAAAGTTGTAAGACCAACTCAATGGAAAATGGCTATTGTATGAATATGGAAAATTCCATGCTCATCACCAATTGTAAGATTAATCTAGAATTAGAAAAACCAATCCCACAAACATAAATATCTATATATATGGTTTACTTGATGTATTGGAGGAATGATGAGTGAAGTAAGAAAACAAGAGAAAGAAAGAGAAAGCAAAGAGTCAATAAGCTGTAAGGGCTTGTGGGAGTTCTCTATTTCATAAATAAATAATATTGAGAGTATGTTTACACAAAATCAAATTGTACAAGTCTCTTTGTAATAAAAAAAGAGATTTTCTCTTGTGCTCCAAACTCAACAATTTGGTATCAAATAGAGCATTGGTGGACGTATTTTTTGAGCTTCTTGAGATCGTAAAAAAATTAAAATTGTGAAGTTTCCATTAAGTTTGCTAATTAACAAGGAGGTAAGCCAAGTCATGATAGGTGACCTACAAGTGGTATATGGAATTAAGAAACTCAATAATCAACATTATACCACAAGCCAGATGAGCATGGAGCATATTTCAAAAGACAAGAATTGCGAGCCATAGTCGTCAACAATGATGTAGCACCGCCATACGACATCAAAACTTTGAAGAAATGAAAGATTAAAGCAAATACAACTATGTATTGTGCAAAGAAAATAATTAAGGCAGAAATATTGGAGTACATAATGGACAAAAAATGTGCCAAAAGAATCATGAGATACATTTGTACCGCTATTTTCAAAGTAAAATATCTAAGGTTCCAACTTCTAGAGAACGAGCTACTCTTTATCATTTAGGGAAAGATGCCAATATTCAATAAAGTTAAATCTCTGAATTAGATTTTACAAGTAAGATTTTGGAGTCTAGGATGAAAAGAATATACATGGATTGAGATCCAAATTACAGGCTTTATTCTGGAATAAAGGAGGGTTAGAGCAACCATCAATAGTAAATCTTGAAAATTTGCTAGTCAACCAAGAAGGATTGACCAAGATAAAGTTAGGTATCTTACTAAAGAGAGAAGAAAAACACTATATAGTTATAAAATAAAAGACTGACCTGTCAACATAATAATAAAGTACTAAAGAAAATAAATATGAAAAATGTTCTCAAAAAATGGGAGCCTAACAAGTAGTGACAAGAGAGGTGAGTTGTCCAAGGAATATCGTCAAACCAATGAATCATTTTTTATATATGGTAAACAAGAACATTATGCCAGAGACAGCCTATTTAGGGAAAATCCAGCAAAAGCAGTATAGTAACTTCCAATGAGCAAGAAAAATACAATAGTAGAGAAGAATGGAATGCTATAGCATCTTTTGCAATAACTGAACGTACTTAAGAGGAGGTATGCTTAAAGGCCTTGAGGAAGATTCAACACTAATGGTAGTGCTCCGTAGGTTAATAGATTAAGAAACTGAATGGATAATTGGCTCTGGATTTTATAACCATATGATACGTGATAAAGAGATGTTACAGAATACAACGAAGGCCGAATAGTTAACTTCTTGTAACTCGAGTTGCCAATATCCCACATTAGTAGACATTTATCACGCCTAGTTTAGTCCTAGTTAAACTAGCTACAAGATGCCTATCATGTGCCATGAATGGAAAAAAATCTCATATGAGTGGCATAGTGTCAATCGAAATCGCAAGTGCATGAGTCGTAACAAGCAATAAAGTGAATGAGCAGGAGTATCGTCCCACAAGTAACGAAAAATTACAAATAAGTATCAAAATTTATTAAATGACGATCTATTTGACAATTTGAATGTAAATGAATTGTTTAGCCAGAAAGTTTAAACTAACAAAATTTGAACAAGCAAGTTAAAATCAAGGAAATGAGATTCTAGAGTTTTCGATTCACCATAACTAATCATATGTGAATATCCTAATTGAATTAATTATAAGTGTTCCTTATTGTTGATAATCGAGTATCCCTAATTTATTCATTAATCTTTCTCAAGCATTAACGAAATATCCCAATAGAAAAAATTTCTACGTTTTTGTGAAAATTATAAACCTATCAACATTCATTAATAACAAAGGAAAAAATCTATAAAGATTACACAAGTCCATGGATATCTCTATCTTACTGAGTTCCTGTGGTATCTCAAACATAAGCTAAAACAATTATTACTTATCTGCCTCAAATTGAATCCCAACTCAAGTGAACGGTGATCAGTTATTCAAAAGCATTTAAGTCCAAAATGAAATACTCAACAATCTGAACATACTAATGAATTCAAGTAAAGGAATATTCACATAATCATAATTAGGCTACATCTCAGACTCTACAAGATAGAAATTATTTCATGCTATAATTAAAGAAAAGCTTAATAACAGAGTTTAACATCAAGAAATTGAAAGAGATTTGGAAGAAGGAAAAACTCATTAATTCTGCTCCTCCATTTTCTTGGTGTCGCTAGGGCTCTTGATAACCAAAGAAGAAGAAAGAGCATCAATAATCCTTTCTATCCAGCCTTCCTTCATTGAATTCCCTTCTTCATTCGTGCGTAAACTCTTTTTCCTCCCTCTCTGTCTTGCCGTCTTCACAAGGAAAGAAAAATTCATCCCGAATTCGCCTCGTCAATTCTACAAATTTTTAGCCTTGGATTGTGGGCCATTTTTCGCTTGGAAAATGCAGAAGTTTCAAAATTTCTGTTTCAAGGCTAATTGTAGCACATTAAATTAGCTTTCCAAGGCCTCTTGAATCAGCTCAACATGATGTCGGATGAGGGAGATGGTGAAAATACTAAAGAAGTACAGATACGCTTCCAATTCGGGATTCTTTCGACTCTGAGACGTCTTCTGATTTGCTCCCTTTAGTCCAGGCTATTTTCTTCTGATTGGGTTAGGTCAAGCCCATTTGAATATAGTCCTCTCTCATTGGCCTTGAGTTTTGTTATATTTTAGCTTCATTTCTACTATAAAATTGTAAACACCACAATTAAGATTGGCCATCATTCAACTATAGATAAATATCATTAATAATCCCAAATATACTTGTATATTAGCAAATAATCATGAGCAATCAACATTAAAAATGCAATCTTATACACTCTATCACACCCCCAACTAGCGTATTGCTAAACCCTAGCAATTCAAGCGAAGAAAGAGTATTGCTACCCATCCCAAGTGAAAATTCTTTACACGAATTAGGTGAAAAATATTTAGGCACCTCAAACAAAGCATTCACCAGAGGTCAACGTCACTGTCAAAGTTTGTCTATCAAAGCACATTCCCGAACTCGTGTGTGTTAAGCCCTTTACCATCTTTCCATCAAACCCAAACTCATATAATGTTGAGAAAATCCTGAACAAAGTTATTTATTTATTTTTTTTTTGCAGATATTAGGTGTAATATTCAGCCACAAAAACTATAGCCAATAGAAGTATTGAAGGTTGAGAAAAATTTCCACTCAAATATAAGGAAAGAATAATTGTCTGTGGGCAAAAGAGTGAAATAACAGAATTCTCATGAAAGGATGCCAACTAATGGGAATTCAACCATTCTAACCACTAACCTACTAAGGATCAAAAGGTTAATAAAAAGGTTAGAATATGACTGAGGTCATATTGAAGGAAGGATAAGAGTATTGAAAAATAATATCAGCTCTCAAGTATATATTGAGGGTCTTCATCAACTTGTATACTTAGGGGTTGTTTGGTACCATTTTCTAGGAAATTAGTATCACTTATTTGACTGTTATTCCACCAAGTGGGCCCCACATGTGGGACATTGGTCAAATTATACGGCTACAATTGTGTCCAACAGTAAAAAGCATTTTTTTTTCTTTTTTACCAAAGAAGCTACTCTAGATAGAGACTTAACATGGCTTCCCACAACATTACATTATTCTTTTTGTGCTTCTTCTTAGTTCAAAAAACTTATTTCCTTTTCCTTTTTTTTATCATTTTTTTTAAATTTTACAACACACCTCACTTCAAAATATTTTTCATACCCTTTCTTCATTCATTTCTTATGTTCATTTTTTTTTTCAAACAATATATTCCCCATACTACACACTTGAGACTTGAAGGTAGAGTAGGTGAGGAAATAAATGGCTTAACAAAGACATGGCCGAGATTTTAGCTTAAAGTGTCATCTATTGGATAAAACTTGGGTTGGCTTGAAAGGCTCAAACTACATCCTAAATTGACCTTCCTCATTTATTGAGTATAATCAAACCAACATACCACAAACCGTGTAATGGCATTCCCAATAGTAAACCAAATTTGGAGGATAATAAGATCATGTAACGAGACAATGCTGAAAGTAATATTAAGAATATGATAACTTCTCTCTCAAAAAATGAGAATGGCCCAATTGCTCACAAGTGTAAAAGGTTGCAACTTAAATTGAGTATTCTCTAATTGTATGAGTTCCATATCCATCAAATCACAAGGGCTTAGTTTACGTGCATGAAAAAAATTCTGAGTTGTTTCAATACCTTACTTAGAGATAGCACAATTGAGTTAAGAAAAAAAATACTTTGTAATCAAGCCAAAATACCAAAGCTGAATTCATGCAAACTGGAATGCATTTATGATGCCAAAGCTAAATTCATGCAAACAGGACTGCATATATTCATGCTTAGTACCTTCAACTAAAATCTAACATTGTCCTCATTGTGTAACAAATAAAGTAAAAACATGGTAAGAAGAAACTTCCCTGCTCACTGGTGGAGATGCATCAAACTTCATCTCTCTGAGCATCCTTATCAACCCATTCAAGTACTTGAGCAAGGAGGTGGAGAATTACGTCATCGTCATACCCAAAAAAATTAAAAAATAAAAATATTGAAATAAAAAAAAAACAGTAATTGAGGAAAAAATAGAATATAGAAAACTAAAAAAATTGTAAAGGAATAATGAAAATAGCAAAATAGAGGTTTAGAATTCTTAGGTTGCCTCCCAAGAAGCTCTTAGTTATAGTCAATAGCTTGATTGTTTCTTTTCTTCTAGGTTGGGTCAAGAAGAATGGTGTTCTTGTTGTTGTCAAATTCACCATTTACATAAGGCTCCAAATGTTGTCCATTCACTTTAAATGTCCCATTCTCATCATGAGCGACTTCTACTACTCCATGGGGAAAAACTTTAACAATCGTGAATGGGCGTGACCATCGAGATTTGAGCTTTCCTGAAAAGAGGTGAAGCTTTGAATTGTAAAGTAAAACTTGTTGTCCAGGTAGAAGCTCCTTCTTTGAGATATGCCTATCATGCCAAGCCTTTGTTTGTTCTTTGTAAATCCTTGCATTTTCATAAGCTTCATTACGAAACTCCTCCATCTTATTAATTTGCAAATGATGCTTTTCACTAGCTGTTTGAAGATCCATATTTAGTTGCTTCATTGCCCAATAAGCTTTATGCTCAGCTCTACAGGAAAGTGGCACGTTTTTCCGTAGACTAATTGATAATGAGACATTCCTAAAGGTGTTTTGAATGCTGTTCGATAAACCCACGGTGCAACATCTAGCTTTTTGGTTCAATCTTTTCGAGAGTTGTTAGCCGTTTTATCTAGAATTTTCTTCACCTCCCTATTTGATATCTCTGCTTGCCCATCGATCTGAGGGTGATAAACCAATGCTCTTCGATGTCTAACTCCATATTTTAATCATAGAACTTCAAACTACTTGTTACAAAAGTGAGTCCCTTCATCGCTAATAATCGCCCTAGGAGTCCCAAATCTGGAAAAAATATTCTTTCGGAGAAAACTCTACACCTCTTTTCCATTATTAGTAGGAGTTTCAATTGCCTTCCCGCTTAGATACATAATTTACTGCTAGAAGAATGTATTTGTTGTTGTAGTATGAGGAAAGGGTCCCATGAAGTCAATATCCTAAATGTCAAACAACTCCACTTTTAGAATATTCTGCAGTGGCATTTCGTTTCATTTAGATATGTTCCCGGAGTGTTGGCATCTATCACAAGCGGCAATAAAAGTATGAGAATCCTTGAACAATGTTGGCCAATAAAATTTGAATTAAAGAACTTTAGCTGCTGTCCGATGAGGTCCAAAATGACCTCCATATTCTAGTGTATGCAATGCATCAGTCATCTCCACCTCCGGAACACATCGCCTGATTATTTGGTCCACACAAAGCCCGTAGAGTACAGGAATTTCTTCTTTTGTTGATAAGAAAAGTTGTGGAGAATGATTTTTCCTACAAGAAAATTGACATAATTTGCATACCAAGGTAAAGGATTGTTAGAAGAAATAACTAAAATTTAATCATCTGGAAAATTATCATCTATGGGCAGTCGTTGGGACTCAAGTTGCTCCAGTAACTCTAGCCGTAAGAGATGATCTGCTACCAAATTTTTGGTTCCTTTCTTGTCTTTAATCTAAATATCAAATTCTTGTAGCAAGACAACCCAACGAATGAGTCTTGACTTGGCTTCCTTTTTCATAATAAGGTATTTAATCGTGAAATGATCGGTGTAGATTATTACCTTAATCCCAATGAGAAGCGAGGACAATAGTAAAAAGCTCATTCTCAATTGTGGCATAATTATGGGTTCTGCTAGCATAATAAATGTTATGAAACTGCTTGTTCTTTCACCATCCTAATATTGTTCCAATCGCATAGTAACTTGCATCGTATATCAATTCAAACGGTAGATCCCAATTCGAAGTATAACAATCGGAGCCGACACAAGTTTCTATTTTAGTTACAAGACGCCTTATCACATTCTTCATCAAACACAAATGGTGTTTCTTACACAAGCAAGCTACAAAGGAGTTTGGTTATCTTGGAAAAGTCCTTAATAAATCTTCTATAAAATTCGGCATATCCAAGAACGCTCCTAACTCCTTTTATTGTTGTTGGTGGTGGAAGCTTCTCGATTGTCTTGACTTTTGCTCTATCCACTTCAATCCCCTTTGAAAAGATCCAATGATCCAAGATAATTCCCTCTTTTACCATGAAGTGACACTTTTCCCAATTTGGCACAAGGTTAGTTTCTTTATCTCTCTTCAAAATTAAAGCCAAATTCCCAATGCAATCATCAAAAGGGGATCCAAATACAGAAAAATCATCCATGAAAATTTCAATAATCCGCTCTACCAAATCTGAAAAGATTAACATCATACACCTTTGAAAGGTGGCTGGCGCATTGCAAAGTCCAAATGGCATTCGATGAAAGGTGAAAGTGTTGTAAGGACATTTAAATGTGGTCTTCTCTTGGTCCTCCGGTGCTATGGCTATTTGATTCTACCCCGAATAGCCATCTAGGAAGCAATAGTACTCATGCCTGGCTAGCCTGTCCAACATTTGATCAATGAATGGCAAGGGAAAATGGTCCTTCCTATTAGTTTTGTTCAATTTTGGATAATACATGCAAATTCTCCACCCAGTAGCTATTCTTGCAGGGATCAACTCATTGTTAGCATTCTTCACCACTGTCATTCCTCATTTCTTTGGTACTACTTGCAGAAGACTGATCCATGAGCTATCAGAAATTGGGTAAATCACTCCGACATCTAACCATTTTAAGATCTCTTTACATGCCACCTTTTTCATTGTCGGATTGAGTCTTCTTTGGTGCTCCACCGTTGACTTGTAGTCTTTCTCCAACAAAATTCGGTGCAAACAAATAGAAGGGCTAACTCCCTTGATATCTACGAGTGTCCACACAATTGTTGCCTTATGTTCTCTAAGCACTCTCAACAACTTTTCTTTTTCTTCAATGGAAAGCTTAGATGAAATAATTATAGGAAGAATGGATGATTCACTAAGATATGCATATTGCAGATGTTTAGGTAAGGTCTTAAGCTCCAATATGGGTGGTTTCTCAATAGATGGAAGGGGCTATGATGTTCCATGTCCCAAATCTTCAAAAAAAAAAATAAAAAAAAAATCTATGGTTAGGACTAAAAGAATCCATCCACAAAGCACATTCTAACATTTACGGATTCTCTATCATAGTCAAAATGGGACTAACCAAACAAGCTTCTAATGATTCCTTTTGCTGATTAAGTACTTTAGTGACCAAAGAGTCGATTGCTTGGATGCTAAAACAACCCTCACTTGTAACCAGATACTTGATGGCATAAAAAACATTAAAGTTTACCTCCTCCTCTTGTATTCTCAACTGTAATTCTTTCCTTTGGACATCAATTAGAGCTCAACCAGTAGTTAAGAATGATCTGTCAAGAATGATAAGAATTTCCCTATCCTCATCCATGTCTAAAATGAGGAAGTCAATTGGAAGAATAAACTTGTCCACTTTGATAAGCGCATCCTCAATAATTTCTCGTGGGTTTGTTATTGAGCGATCCGCTAGTTACAATGATACTGTAGTAGGTCTCGCCTCACCTAGTCCAAGTTTCTTGAAAATAGACAAAGGCATGAGATTAATACTTGCACCTACATAGAATTCCAATTGAACAAGGGATAGTAAAACTCCCTGGATCATTGAGCTTAGGAGGCAATTTCTTTTGTAGAATTGCACTACACTCTTTTGTTGGCTACTGTCTCATATTCTTCCAATCTTCTCTTATTTGACAAGATGTCCTTTATAAATTTCACATAGCTTGATATTTTTTCGAGAGCTTTTGCAAAAAGGAATGTTAATATGCAATTTTTTAAACACGTCTAAAAATTTAGAAAATTGCTTATCAAGCTTATTCTTTTTGAGTCCTTGAGGGAATGGAACTCTTGGTGCTAGATCTTGTGGTGAGATTGGTTGATTGTCAGAAATCTCCTAGATAAGCATCGGTGTGTGGAGTTGCACCTCTCCATTTTTCTTTTTCAAACTTTTCACTTGTAGTTGGAGTTTTTAACTCTTTTCCATTTCTCAAAGTGATTGCCTTGCACTATTTCTTTGGATTCACTTCAGTTGTGCGAGGTGAATTTCCTTGTTGTCTCCCAGTTAGCATATTGGCCAATTGACCGACTTGGACTTCTAAATTTTGTATCGAAGCTACTTGGTTCTGAAAATTGGTCTTAGTCTCTGTTATGAATCTATCGATGTTAGTTGCCAATAGTGTCATTGCTTCGTCAAGTATCAATTTTTCTTCCAGTGGATCAATAGATGACGGACCAGGTTGAGGTTTCAATACATTCTAATTATTCCATGAAAAATTGGGGTTATTTCTCCATTCGAGGTTGTATGTTGCACTATATGGATTGTGTTGCCGATTGTAATTTGCAAAAAAGTGTGATTGCTCTGCTTGAAATTGAGAGAAGGGATTTCCCACTTGACATTCTTCACTCGAATGGTTTCCATGACAAAAATCACAAATTGATGGTGTTAAATGAATGGCATGTGCTGTCAGTTGGTTAGCCTTCAATTGTTGAGTAAGATTATGGACTTGAGTTGTCAAGGTAGTGATAGCTTCAATCTCATGCACTCCTATTACTTTCTTCAATAAAATTCTCTCATTTGGCCATTGATAATTGTTCATCGCCATCTCCTCCAACAGATAATATTCATCATCTAAGGATTTGCCCATAAAAGCTTCTCTTGAAGCGCAATCTATTAGAGTTCTTGTAGAGATAGCAAGTCCATTATAGAAGTTCTGAACTTGCATCCACTTGGAAGTCCATGGTGAGGGCATCGCCTAAGTAGGTCTTTATATCGCTCCCGAGCCTCGTAAAGTGATTCGCCCTCCATTTGAGAAAAAATTGAAATCTCATTGTGCACCTTTACTATCTTGGCTGGTGGAAAAAATTTAATGAGAAACTTCTGAGCTAAATCTTCCCAACTAGTGATTTAATTTGCATGCAATGAATTTAGCCAATTTTTTGCACTATCTCAAAGAGAGAAAGGAAATAGCCAGAGGTAGGGCTGTAAGCAAAAACTGCAGAACCGGAAAACCAAACCGAAACCGCATTTTAGAAATCGTCGTTTTGGTGCCACGTGGACCCGGTCAACGAAATCGTTTTGACCCAAACCAAACTGGTCAAAATTGTTTGGTTTAGGTTTGAGAATTTTAATTGTGGTTTAAAACAAAACCGGATCGGCGAAAAAATATATAAAAATAAAAAAATGAAAAAATGAATTTTTTTGAAAATTCATCCAAATATGTAAAATTCAATAGCTTTGTCATTTGTGAGTATTTTTGTCAATTCCTAATTTTATAATATAGATATATTATTATTATTATTATTATTATTATTATTATTATTATTATTATTATCCAATAATCATAATATATATTTAATAATTTCAAGACTAACATAATCTATCAAAAGCCTTTTTTTTCTTCAAAATTTAGATGAACTCCAGTCCACACCCAACACAGTTTTGAACCACCGGTACCACACACTTCTTTTTCAGATTTTTCACGCTCTTCAAAGTTGATTTGAAGTCTATGATACCAAATCGGAGACAAAGAGATCCTAGACCTAGGGCTGTAAGCAAAAATCACAAAATTGAAAAACCAAACCGAAACCACAGTTTAGAAACCCTCGGATTGGTGCCACGTGAACCCGGTCAACGAAATGGTTTTGACCCAAACCAAACGGTCAAAATGGTTTGGTTTAGGTTTGAGAATTTTAATTGCGGTTTAAAACCAAACTGGACTGGCGAAAAAATATATAAAAATAAAAAAATGAAAAAATGAAATTTTTTGAAAATTCATCCAAATATGTAAAATTCAA